CATGCTGTCGCGGGCATTGGGGCTACGGGTGCCACGCGCACGCTGGCGCGGGCACGACTGGCTGCGGGGTTGGGCACTGCCGCGCTACATGCGCGGCCAGTGACCAAGGCCGGCCCTTGTCGGACCTCCGGCGACTTTTTCCGGCAACATGCATGATAATACAACATAATATGATAAAATAAGCACAAATAACACATAAAACACTAGTGGACTTCGGGTCCACTTGCATGTTCACTCGGTAGGGCTTATACGACCCGTACGAGCACTTGACGTTCGAACCGACTAAAATTTCTTAAACTTTTGATGATGGCCGAATGTTTAACATTTAAAACATTTCTATAGAGGCTAAAACATGTGGCACATCTTGCATGAAATGAACTAGGGTTCGGGTGCCCATTTTAACATATTTTCGAGCATGATTTGACTAAGTTAATGAGCTCCAATTCTATTCAAACTTTTACATCATTAACGGCATGATATTTGAGAGTGATTTAACCAACATTTTCGACTTTGGCATGCATACAACTAAAATTTCATTTTTAAGGTCTTAAACTTCAAAAATTCGGAAATCACGTATAATGACATGCATGGCTCGGTTTTAACTCATGAAAAATCTTAAAACATCATAAAATAATTTATGAAGTCAAAAATCCCGAGCTTACCTCAGTTAGAAATGGAGAAATGGTGCTAGGGCTCAAACTAGGACTTGGTCACGGCTTTGGGCTTAGGCTCGAGTTGGAGTGAGTTTTGGCCGAGCTTGGTGAACTCTAGAGGCTTATAAAATTCTAAGAAACACTTAGAAAATGATAACCCCTGGAAGAATTCGTCTAGAACTCGAGATGGCTGGTCCTCCCCTCTCCCTGGGTCTGCGCGCGCGAGCTAGGGCCAAGGTAGGTGTCTCTCACTTTTTTGATTTTTCTCTAAGTATTTGGTCGAGGTATTGGGGGTTTAAGAACTTCATTGTATCTGATAGATGAGGTTTATATAGGAGATGAGGCGGAATTTGCTATGTGAGGTCAAAGGGGACCAAAACTCATGACTTAGGCACCCACACTTATTATGGGAACTTGAGGATGTCTTGGTTGGAATTTGGCCTGACTTTGCACGGTCTTAGAGACCATTTCAGAGTATATAGTGGAGAGGTCAGGTCAGGTTTGGAGGTTGCATGGGGGACAAAAGATTCCATACTTGAATAAAATAATGTTGTGCCCATGGTCCACTTTGGGCTAATGGTATGTTGACTTTAGCTAAACTTCATTAGGGCCATATTAGCTTAATCTTACCCTTATTAAGTCCCTAACAACCGCAACTCTTGGGCCATGGGAGATTTGGGCCAGAAATATATGAAATGGGCTTTTGAGGTTGGGCTGGTAGGGCTGTTGCTGGGCTGGGCGCTGGGCCCTGGGCGCGGGGACGCGGGCTGGGCGCGAGGGCGCAGTTGGGCTGCGCGGGGAAAATGACTTTGGCTGAGTGTGATGGCCTCCTTCAATGCTTCAACACTTAGAAAAAAATATTGGATGAGTTATGGCATGCCTTGGACGCCACTAGGGCTCGGTAGGGAGTGCATGGGCGTGGCTTAGGCGCGGTGCGGGGACTAGGGCACGAATGGCTCGGTTATGCATTTTGGCTCGATTTAAAATGATCAAAACTTGACTTTGATATTTTAATATACTTAGAAAAATATTCTAAGTATTAAAATATCAACTCGATTATGACTTAGAAAAATATACCCGGAACGACAACTAGGGTTCGTGTCCGGTAATTTCTCGAATCGACTTGCTATAATTTAACAACCCAAATTAATGGATTAATCTTAACTTAAAATTGATATAGAAATATTCCCAGGAATAATCTATCATTTTAGAGCATTTAGCATATATAAATATAACTGGACTTTTCTGAAAATTACGGATTTCACTTATAGTCGAGCAGTGAAACCGTTCTTAATATTATTTCTGATTTGGGGCATTACATTGTTGCCTTACCTCTTTCCCAAGAGAGGAAACAATTTGCTTTGATGTGGAGGAGCTATTTTTGGGACGACCCGTTCATTTACAAGATGGGAAAAGACGAGATTCATCGGAGGTGCGTGCCCGAAGAGGAGCAGTCGGATGTTCTTGCCTTTTGCCACGAGCTTCATTGCGGAGGCCATTTTGGAGGTCGAAAGACCGCCTTTAAGGTCCTCCAATCAGTTTTATTTTGGCCTACTATTTTTTGAGGTGTTCATGACTTTTGCAAATCTTGTGACCGTTGTCAAAGGGTTGGGAATATCGGTGCTAGAAATGAAATGCCTCTAGTTGACAATCTCCAAGTTGAAATCTTTGATGTTTGGAGCACTGATTTTATGGGACCCTTTCTTAAATCCTTTGGTTTCGAGTATATTTTGCTTGCCGTTGATTATGTGTCCAAGTGGGTCGAGGCTATACCCACAAGGACATGCGACGCTAACGTAGTGATCAAGTTTTTGCAAGGTAATATTTTGAGCAGGTTTGGATTTCCACGGGCCATCGTGAGTGACGGAGGCAAGCACTTTTGCAACTGTATATTCGAGAAGTTGATGGCCACGGCATATCGCATAAGGTGGCGACCCCATACCATCCTCAAACGTCGGGCCAAGCGGAGACGAGCAATAATCAAATTAAAACCATACTTGAGAAGACGGTGAACTCGTCCCGGAAGGATTGGTCCCGTTGACTTGACGATGCATTATGGGCCCAACGGACAGCGTATAAAGGAGTTTTGGGGATGATCCCTTTCCGGCTCGTCTACGGAAAGGCGTGCCACCTCTCGGTAGAGATCGAGCACAAAGCATTTTGGGCGATAAAGAAGATGAACTTTGACCTTGATGCCGCCGGAAGAGAGCGAATGTTGCAGCTCTCGGAACTTGAAGAATTGAGGAACGAGGCGTACGAGAATTCGAAGATTTATAAGGACAAGGTCAAACGACTCCATGACGCTCGTATTGTTCGGAAGGAGTTGGTACCGGGCATGCAAGTTCTTCTTTTCAATTCCCGACTTCGTTTATTTCTGGGAAAACTTAAGTCCTGGTGGAGTGGCCCGTTTGTTGTTGATGAAGTTCTATCTTTCGGGGCAATTCAAATTCGCGTCTACCGGTGAATTCTTTGTTGTTAACGGACAAAGGATCAAGTCTTACTTTGGAGGAGAAGTCAGAACGAAGCACGTCGAGACCGTGGATCTCGGCGAACCACAGTTTACTTGATCGCGAGAGTGCCGAGCTACCGGCAATAAATCGAGCACTCTTGTACATATTATTATTATATATATATATATATCTATATCTTAAAAAGGAATCGAAAAATTGTTCGTCGCAGCCGCGAACTATTTTTTTGATCCTAAAACTCGCGGCCGCAAAGGACACTCGCGGCCGAGGAAGTGTTGTTCGCCGCGGGCCGCGGAAGACGCGTTTTAAGCAGCCCTCTCGAACAGGCATGGTCATTTTTCGAGCCCTCATCTCCTCTCTACAGTTCAGGCAATTTTTCTTGCTCCCGACAACATCAAACACCAAAAATTCGATTTCAATCCTTGTGAAATTCTAGACACCCATCCTTGCGATCCAAATTTCTCACGCGGGCATTCTCGTGGCAGAATTTTTCTGACCAATTGCAGTGGAATTCGGGAACCCTCGGGTCGTCTTCTCAAGCTAAGATCTCTCTCCGACGTTTTCTCCCACCGTCACCCTCTCCGGCGTCCGTCTCTTCCGAACACGAGCAGCAACCACGACGACCACTCCCCCGCCACCTCGCATCCCTCAAGCTCCGAGTCCACCACTCCACAGTTTCGGTGTGCAACCGCGGGTCAACTTCTGGTAACCACCCTTCTTGTTATTGCTTCAACGAAATTGAATGGTCTAGTTGTTGGTTGATGACTTGCTGAGATTGAAGTTGAAATACATTTGGTTCCATCACTTTCAACTTCCTAAGAGCTTCAAAGACCAAAATTCTGCTCACAAGGTGTTTGTCGAATTGCCCTAAAAACATCACCATGGTTAAACTTCGGGCGTCAAACGAATACCGCTCAAGGCGACCCTCTAATCGAGGGAAACAAAAATTGGCCTAATCATTGGGCCAAAGAGACCGGGCTGCCCCTCAAAGAAGCGAACGGACGGACCTTCGACAACAATACGGTGCTTCGTTCCCAATATACTCGAGGAAGAAGGGCGAAATATATTCCCACCTTTCACAGATAGAGTTAGTGCGACCAAAAGCAATTGACTGGGATGTTTTGAGGAGCTTGGGAATCATTGGTGACGTTAAAAGATACCTGGGGGTACTAAACCTTCTCAACTAGGCCCAGATCGAAGAACCGTCGTTTCGAAGCCTTATGATCGAGTTCTTTAGCACGTTCGTGCTTGCCGATGGTAATGAGTATTTCACTTGTCAGCTACAGGGGAAGATGTGAAGGTGGAAAACAATGTGATGAAGAAGGTCTTTGGGTTCAACTTAGTCGGCAAGCGAAGCAAACGGGCAGACTTCAACGCCAAGAAGAGTTGGACAGAGCTTTCTCCTCATACATCTTGAGACTCACGCGGCATGCCGAACGGACTCATTCAAGAGTTAGCCACAGCTGTTGTGCACAGGTTCATAGGCTATAACATCTCTGGGAAAAAGGATGCAAACAAAGTTAGTGAAGCCAAGCTCTATTTCTTATGGGCAATGCGTGCAGGAGTGAAGGTGTGTTCTATGACCTTCTTGCAAGACTGTCTGCAAGAAATTGCACTTAATCAACGTGGCATTCTGGCTCTCGGGCATGTTGTTACGGCACTGGCCAAACATTTCAGAATCCCTGCTCAACCCGTCTTTATTGACGCGACGTGGTCGGTGGAGGGCGCTCCAATGCAATGCCTTAACGAGCATGAGCTCAGACAGGCCGACCTCATTCAGAATCGAACCACCCCTCAGGAGTATACGAAGCGTAAGGTCTACGACATCTATTTCAAGAAAATTAAGGGTAATGAGGCGGTTAACACTAATTAGGCCAGGACATCCCGACAATCGTCGGACGATGACGAGCATGAGCAGATGCATATGGATGACGACCACCTTCTACCACCACCACCCAACCAAGAATACGCACCGAACCAGCAAACCGAGGGCCCACCACAGCAACTGCCGGAATGGTGGACAACATACCAGAACCAATGGACCTCTTTCTAAACCCAGTATACATCTGACATCCGAGCCATTCACACCCGATTTGATGCCCAAGACAGTAGGTGGGCCAACTTGGAGAACCGACAGAACACTCAGTGGGCCAGTTGAGAGACATAGCAGAAGACTCAGTGGGACCATTGGGAGACCCATCAGTAGAACCAGTGGACTCACATGGGCTCACGCTTCGACAGCTTCACTGACAGCCTCCAATCTATTCGCGAGCGCCAGGATCAGCAAGACGCTTGTATCGACCGTCGGGACCAGCGATTCACCCAGTGGGACACCTATTGGGGTTCGGGATCGAGTACCCCCTATCCTCCATAGCCACCACCATCGGATGCACAGTGACTTGTCACTGTGCTTTGTACGTCTTTCTTTTCCTCTTTTTTTTTTTTTTTTTTTTTTTTTGTACAGTTCGTTTTATTTTCGAGTCGATTGATTATGTAATTTAATTTTCCTGTACTTCGGAAGGACAATGAGGACATTGTCGAATTCTAAGTGTGGGGGGGTTTTTGCGTGTTTACGTGACTATGTGGTTAAACAGGTCTAGTTTTTCGATTGTTTTTATTTATTAGGATTATGTGTTGTGTCTTTCTGAGTTTGGACTATGGTGAATGGCGAGATTAGTCAATAACGGTTGATTGAGTTAAGAAGTTGCGATGATGTGAATAAGTAATATATCTCGATGAAATGCTTGGTTGTTTTGTTTGACAAATATTTTACCTTGTGAGGTTTGAGCCATGTTCGTTTCTTTTATTGTGTGATATTGGTCGAAATCGTTGTCAATTAGGATTTGCCTTGAGTCTATTTTGAAATGAATAAGTCGAATTTGTGTGATGTGAATATGATTGAGGCATTGTTTGTATTACCCTTATCTTTTGTGAAAATAAATTTGCTAGTCATCCCCTTTGAGCCGCATTGATTCCTTCTTTATTAATAACCCCGTGATGATGATATTTTGAGTTGCAAAAGGTATTGTGGAGATTTGGAGGTGATTAGTATCGGTGTTGTATATATTGATATAAAAAAAAGTCGAAATGAAACCAAAGGAAAATGAATATCCTAAGGTTGTCTTTCTTACACACACACACACACACACACACACACACACACATATATATATATATATAAAGAGAGATTGTGAATAATGAGGGTAGCGTATTGGTTTTGAAGATATGGGAGGAAACGATTGGTGTTTGACAACTTGAAAGTTTATGCTCATGGTTAGGTGAATAAAGTGAGCGAATTCGATTTTTATTTAGCCACTTAGCCTATATTTATCCTACCCGGTCTAAAGAGCCTACGTTACATCCTTAAAAGTCCTCTTGATTCACTATTGCATAAATTTGACTATTTTAGAGTAAGAGTTAGACGATAGGAAAATTTATGATTGATTCGATTGATGACCAATTTGAGCGTTCCCCATTGATATTTGTGAAAAGAAATTGAGTGAGGTATATATGAGATACTTTTACACTCGAGAGTCTTTGTCTTTCAAAATAGCCAAGTTAATAGTCGAGGTGTGTTCTTGTAATCATTTGAATTCTTCTTGACTTGATTGATTAGTTTGAGATTAGTTTTGCTTGAAACTATTGTGCTTACTCATTTATGTGTTTTCTTTTCTTTTCTTTTATTTTCTCTTAAGGTTTAAGTGTGGGAGAGTTGTTTGTCCCATTTTTGTTGTATTTTTCGTGCTTGTTTTACTTTTCTTTTTCCCCCATTTTAGGTCGTTTCTTTCATTTTTAGTTCGTTTCGTGCTTGGTTAGGTGTTTTCTTCCTATTTGAGTCTTTATGAGTTTTTCGTTTGTTTTTCTGTCTTTTGTTTTGTGTTTTATCGTTTATGGTTGTAGGTTGGAAGTTTCGGGCGAGTATTCTTTTCAGGGAAAAACTGGTTTGAGAGCATAAATGAATAAAGGGGTTCGTCGGCGACACGTAGCAAAAAACGAAATTCAATTCCGAGTCCGGATGAGCGTATGAGATCCCGAGTAACGAATCGGCGAATTTTCTTCACCACGGCCGCGAAGTGGACCGCGAGGCGTGAGGAAGGCCACGAGTCGCGATGGATTTTCTGTGCTCGGAAGTCGCGGCCGCGGACCTGCTATTCGCCGCGTGTTGCGAAACCCTCCACTGCCGCAGAACCTGGAATTTGCAGAAAATCTGGCTTTTCCTTGTTTTACTCACTAGTGAAAGACATGGTCGTTTTTTAGGCTTGTTTTGCGGCACACACACCTAAAAAATGGGATTGAAGATTACAATAACACCCTCCATCTTGATCCATCTTGATCTATCACAATTATTCATCATTTTCCATCATTTTCCATCATCTTCTACACCATTTTCTTCCATTTTTCTTCCTTTTTCTTAAGTTTGTATTTTGTTGGAGAACTATTTGAAGACATTGTTGTACCTTGGATTAAGTTTGCATTTGCTCTTGGATTTCACATTACTAGTAAGTTATTTATTTCATTTTGCTATGTTGAGAATGACTTATTTTTATATGAATGTTTATGTTGAAATATTATTATGATCAACTAATCCTCTAGCTAGGGTTAGGGGATAATCGTTTCAGTTCAGTCTCGTTTATGTGTATGTCAATTGCTCAATCTTTGCGAGTTTTATTAATCTTATGATTGAATTCTTGATCACCATTTTAATCTATACAATCGATTTCAAAACCGAGAGGGGCGAAATTGGTAGAACTTGGCTCGTTTAGAGTAGACATGTTCGGAGACGTATTGTCTATGTGTTAATTATTTCGTTAGATTGCTCTTTTGTGTTTATCCACATATACTAGAGTTAGTGAGGTTAAACCGCTAAATGAGTTAGTTAGTCGAACCTTTTAACCGATTAGTTGATTGCCGTTAAATGTGTGTAGAACCGAAAGCGATTGTCCCCGATACCCTAGCTCGTTTATTTATATTTGAACCACATTTATCTTCTTAAGTTGTGTTTTCGAGTTGCTACATTTAGATAGCTCATTTCAATTTTGTTAGTTGATAATTAAAACCAACAAATCGAATTAGAGTGTTTAGAATAATTTTCCTTTTTCGTGATTGAATAAACGTACGACTTAGTCCGACTAACTTTCCTCGAGAGACACGACCCGGTGTTCGAATATTTTGATTCTACTCCGGTAAAATAACACTACAACAAATAGCACAAGTAAGGTAATCTCAACATTCAGTGGATAGTGAGAAAAATATTTTCTAGAAGTATAACTTTTATGGCTCGGAAGTGTTAGATGGAGGTGTGGATGGACACACTTGATTTTCGAGTTCCACATTTACTTTATTGAAAATTAGTGATTTTCTAAATTTTTATGATTATTATTGTTATATTAAATTAATATTTCACCTTTATTGAATCCGATCTTTTCATTCATATGTCTTAAAATATTTAATAAATTCTTGACATTATTATCAATTATATGAGTGTCATCAATATCTATTTTAATCATGAGGTATAAATAGGTTCTAGCATGTAAATAAAATTCTAATCTCTAGAGTTGCACAAATATATAATACGCATGCAGTAGAGAAGAGAAAAATAAATCAATCTATTATCACAGGTTAACAACTTACACGTATATAAAACAGTTAGAGTTTAATACAATAATCAGATAAAAAAATATTCGTACACACAACAGATAAAATATTCAATGATCATATAAAACACGATGAAACATGACAGATAAAACAGATAAAAATATATAATCAATATTTAAATAACAGATAAAACACGATGAAACATGACAGGTAAAACATATAAAAATATATGAACAGATAATCGATATTTAATACACGATGAAACAGATAAAATATCAATACACATCACAGAGAAGATAAATATATATACACGATTACAGATCGCAGCTATATATACAAAATGATAAATAAATAATCTATCAATAAGCAGTACAGATATATACACGCATCACGGGTAAAATTTTTATGTAACAATCCCAACAGTATTTTCAACAACAAACAGTATATAATATATATACATGCATCAATATTTTGGAGATAACACATTTTTTTTTTTAAGACTTTGATCACCCACCTCTTTCTACTTGGTATTAGGGGATTAGGATGATGTGTGCTCTCAGACTTCTACTACGGACAGCTGCTCCCCAAGATCTTGTTGATCGATGCGGAGTGAAAATTGAGTTGAGATAGGAAATTGTTTCGTGGTTTTGCGTTGTTTGAACTAAAAGCTGACATTTGAGTTTTGTGTGAAGGAGGTATAAAATGGTTAAGATAAATTGTGTCTGATGGTTGTGAACGGTACTGTATCAAAGGGTTAAGTAGAATAGATTGTGTGTGGATTGTGTAGAAAGATTGTCTGCAATATGAAGATTACACGCCAAAGGCAATGATTACACTGATAACGTGATTTTTATTGGGGGTGGAAGTTTGAGAAGAATAAGAGACGCATCCGTGAATGGAAAAATGTGATGTTCCGAAATCCGTGAATTTGATTGGGGATTGGGTCGGCGTATCTGATCTCCCTCTTTTTTTTTCTTTTTTTTTTTATTTTTAGATGAATATTTTTAGCACACTTAAACAATTTATTTATCTATAATTAATACTTAAGCATCTATACTAAACTTTAAATGCAACTATATATATATATCACAACTTCGCAGTTATACATGAATACACACACACACACACACACACATATATATATAACGTACTAACTATTTTTTAAAAGTTAAGCACTTTACATATTTATATAAATATGTATGTATTTCAATGGAGGATCACAGTTTTATCTATCCAAACCAACTATATTATTAGATATCTAAGATATTAATGGATAAT